GCACTGTCTGGAAACGCATGAAGATCTCGAAACGGGCGGCTGTCTCTTAACACGTCATTGGACGAGTTTCAAGACAATTTGAAGATTCAAAATAAATATTACGTACACAAAATTTTTCCTTAACAGAATTGTTAATCTCGGGAAATTTCAAAGAACGCTTTCGGATTCAATTCAAAGAGAATTTCTTCGCAGCTGAATACGTAACAGTGTATTTGCATGCCCAGACTTGCATCATCTCGAGTCTCGAGGTCATCACATGATTTCCTAGAAATTGCCCATTGGGGGATGAGGAGGGTAGGGACAGGCGCTATGGTGAAAGACAAATTTCGATTTTATATCGAGCAAACCTCAAGAAAAGTGCTGGCAAGATAATTTTTTTTGGTTACTTAACAAACGGGCTACATTCCTTTAACTGTTTCTCATTAGAATACTAAAAATGCCATAAAAATTTCGGCAATCAAATATATTAGCACAAGCGGTCAATAGTGGTTACCAACTCAAACGCAGACCATACGGTAAGCGGTATTCTAGATATTTACAGTAGATATTCTAGATATTTACTCCTCAATTACTTCATCATCAGTCTACAATTTTCTGGCATTTAAGAAATGTAATTCCCCTGGTTTTTAATCTATAAATGAGTATTTTTGATCGGTTAGAGCCCGAATCTTAAATTTAATCTTTATAATTGATTACATTTTAATACATGCACTTATTTGTCTTTGTAACTGATAGGAAAAGACTCACCTCAAATCAGGTTGCCTGCTTGAAAATATGTAAAATCTGTTTTTCTTCGATGCTGTACAAAACAGCATTGGATCAGGGCCTACTGTTTGAAGCGAAGGGTTTTCTGATGCCTCCATGTCTTGTGAAAGTACGATAGAATAAAGATAAAAACGGCGCCTGATATTTTAAAATATTTATTATTCTTTAAAGAGGAGTGTATCGGTCAATTCAGTCTGCCTTTGACTCAGAAAACCGTGGACTCTTAAAATATGTCTAAAATGTTAATCATGATCTAACTAATAGAGACAACCACAAATTAGGGGCTTCTCAACATTCACGGGTTGATTATGTTATCATTTTAGCTCATCATCACAGCTTCTCCTTCGCGTGAAATAACTACATAACTTAAATATATCGAAATACAGATCTCATAAATTTTAAGGAAAACAAATTCCTGCTGAAGACAATCACACGAAGGTTTAGGTTTGTTGCGGAAAGCGAAATTTATAAATAATCAAATTGCAGTGTAATTTACTGAGCTTGACTTATGGTTGCGCGTCACGCCTTCAGAGTCGCAGCTTTCAGTCGCAAGTTTTTAAAGGTCGCGGGTTCTAAAAAAAAAGTTTCTGATCTTCAAAACCTGCAACGTGAAAGGCTCGACCAGAGACCATGACACAAACTCTAATTTACTACCAAAACAATATTTCTGAAGCACTACACAATATTAATATGTAATTTAATTTACGATTTAGCAATACACTTGACGTAAACTCACCTTTGTCTTGATTTCACCTCGATCAAGCGGTTGCTGCCCTTGAATGAGTCCCAGAGGCCTATAGTATTGTCTATCCATGTATTAACCAGTCATTTAAAGCGGAACTTTTCAAATGAAAACAAATCTCTCAAGTAAAATTCATTCCACGCTTGGCGCCTTTACTTTGACTTAAAATGTCTTCAACGCATTGTAAATGATCTTTTGACCTGTACATTTAGTAATCAATTGTGGTATGAAATGG